GTGATTGCTTATCTTCATCTGTCCTTTGTTGACTACCCCAATAGAAAAGATGCGATCAACTAATTCACACACAAACATTCAGACTTGATATAATATCCCTCTCAAGAGTGCTTTTGTTTTGTTTTTTTGAAGTTTGACAGAACGATGTATAACCTAAACAAATATATCTCCACTGGTTTGATATGGATACAGGGGAATCACATTACTCAGGCAACAGTTAATTTCACCTCTGTATGAAGGCCAGGTGGGCAATAGTAATTTCAGAAGGAACTTTTCTTCACTGGGTGTCTGGTGTGCATAAACATTATAGATAATTACAGCTCAAAGATGGGCAGTGATCCTGTTTACTGAAGCCACAGATCAGAAAATGGCCATTCATTCATTCAACAAATAGTTGAGCTCCTACTATGTCCAGTGCTGGTTGTTTGAGGTTATAAGAGGTGAGAAAATCAGACATAGTCCTTGTCTTCATGGAGCTTCCCATCTAGTGCAGGAGATGTATATTCATCAAATAGTCGTGTTCATTTTTTTCTCTATACATATTTAGTATGTATAAGCCATCACAAGTGCTGTGAAGGAAATGTACAGAGCTTGTTATAAAGGTATATAATGGGGACCCACTTGGTCTGGGAGGTTGGGAAAAGCTTCTGAAAAATGCCACATGTCCAATGTCTATCTGCCTCCCTTTGGGGTAAGAGAGAGAGATTTTCTGGATTGCCATAGTGTAGTCCTGGCAGGGAAAATCAGTCATTACAGGAATGTGCACTAAATAGTCACTTTCTTACTGGTAGGGCCTAAAGCCACAGGACTGCATTCTTGCTTTCCTATTTCTTACAGTCCCTAGGAGATTGGTTGAAGTCAGAAGCACTTCAGCTTGGAGACTAGAGGTTTCAGAACGCTGTTTCCAAGACTAGGAGAAAACCACCTGTTCCCCATTCCCCTAACAGAGCAGCCAGGGCCGGCGTCTGTTCTGTAGCACAGAGCTTTCCATCCAGTGTGCTGTGGCAGCATGGGTTCTCAGGACACCAAGAGAAAGATCGCCTCTGCCTTTAGGATGGTTAGTAGGTGGCCAGAGCCCCAAGGCCAAGTGTCTCCTTTCACAGGTAGCTTTTTCTATTTACTGGATACACCATACGAAACCATCTTTGTTTTCTAAGATCAGGTGGCTGAAAATCACTGCCTAGCAGATCCCTGGATGTGCCTTCTTTCTCAGAAAGTTCTTATAGTTCAAAATCTCTAACTGTGGACATACCTGATGGGTTATTTCTGTTTCCCTAGCCTGCCCAGCTGTCTTCCAAGGAGAACGCTCTGGTGTGGATTGCTGTGAATGAGGATGGTGTCAGCATCCTGGACCACAACACTATGGTATGAAAGGATGCAGGCTGCTCCCTGACCCCTCCAGCTCCTCAGCATGGTCTTTTCTTCTCCTCTGTGGACTCAAAAGCCTGAACCCAGTGACCATGGTTGCCCTAGCCCCTCTCATGCCCTAGCCCCACTGTCCTCTAGTCTAGACACTGTTCGTAGACATTCAAGACAGAGATCTCCAAATTATGACCACTTGGGAGTTTTTTCCTAATTAAGGCTGCCTGTGCCTAGAAGAGACGGGGGTGCTGGTGCCTAGCTCGGGGGACAGGTGGAAAGTTTCCCCAGAACTGACTGGTTCCTTTCCACAGCAAGTGCACATCACTTACCCCTACTCTTCAGTGACAACCTTTGGTGGCTGCAGGGATGACTTCATGCTTGTGATTAGAACTATCCCAGACCAGAGCTCTGGAAAAAGCCACATTGAGAAGTTGATCTTCCGGATGGCTGCTGCCAAGGTAGGTCTGACAGCTGCTAAAACGTTCTACTCTGGTAAGATGTGGTGGGCTTGGAGCTTAGAAAGGAAACTGGGGTTATGCTAGTGCTCTACAAGGGCCTTGCCCAGATAAAAGTGTGGGCCTTATCTGTAATTAGTATTCTAAAGGGTTCAGGTGGTGTTGCATCTCAATATCACTGTTCAGCTAGTAGGTAAAGGAGCATATTCGGAGGGAGCTAACTCTGGCATTGCTATTATTATGCTATTCGCTTTTTCTTTTTTATTCTCTCAAGCTCCAGCATCATGCAGTCCTCAGTTGGGTGCTTACTTGCTCTATTCTCTTCCTTGCAGCAGACTCGAGGCAGGGCAGCTTCCTCGTTACAGTGCTCTCATGTTATCCCTGGGTTCTGCTGACCCAACGCTAGCTACAAAGTGGGACAGTCCCACAGTGCTCCCTCTTCCTTGTCATGGGGAAGACAGCAAAAAGACCTCTTTTGCTTTAATGACTTTGTTCTATTCAATATAGGAAATGTTGACCAGCAAAAATAGCAATTACAAAGGCTTAGGAACCTAAGTTCTGATTTATTGTTCCTAACTCCCCTGTGACTCACTGGAAAGCCTGTTGTTCTCGACTTTTTAATCCTAAAGTTAGAGTTTGCCAAACCTACTCCTCCTTTAATACCACCCCTGCCAAAGGAGAGGATCTACAGATCACTTTCTCAAGAAGGCCCCCTTCCCTGGTTGTAGAGCTAAGCAGAGTAGAACACAGGGCCTCCTTTTCTCAGAAGGGCACTGTGCATCTCAGAGGATCTCCAGACCAACAGGGGTCCACATCACTAGGCCTCTGAACTGCAGTCATGATTCTCTTTGGATATTTTCTCCCAGGTGGATATTTTAAAAGATTAAATAAACTGAGGCCCAGGAACTCAATATAAGAGCTAATAAGTGAGAAAGCCAGGATTCAAGCCAAGAATAGTTAATTCTTCCACATCTCTGACCTCCTCTTAGATTGCAGAAGCTACCTTCATCATGGCCAGCTATATGAACCATTGCTCTACAACTGTGAACCCACCCACCCACCCACCTGGAGCCCGCCAGCTGTGGGAACTGGATGGACGACAGTTCTTTGCTTCTGTTTCCTGTGCTACCAAGGGGCCAACGTTGCTGTGAATATTTCTCCTACTGCATTCCCCACCACCACTAGTGCCTCTGGATTTAGAGATACATATCCTGGAGTATGATACTACTGTGATGGGTCTAACAGCCCCCCACCACTCTTGTTCTGTGAAATGTGCATTTTAGTGTCTGTGAAGCCTTTACTCTCTAGGTGCTTTATAATGTTTCAGGGCCCAGCTTTTTAAAATCCAGACCCAGTGTTAAAACCACTTATTCCTTTTTTTTGTAAGAATAACTCTAGATGCTACCTGATTCTATAGACAGGGGTGATCCACTATTACTGAGGGCATCAGTGCTATAAGTTAAGGCTTTCTGCACTGATACTCTCAAGGAAGCTTTTTTTGGGGGGTGGGGGGAGGATAGAGTCTATGTTGCCCAGGCTGGAGTGCAGTGGCCCGATCTTGGCTCACTGCAACCTCCGCTTCCCAGGTTCAAGCAATTCTCCTGCCTCAGCCTCCTGAGTAGCTGGGATTGCAGGTGTGCACCACCATGCCTAATTTTTGTACTTTTAGTAGAGATGGGGTCTCACCATGTTGGCTAGGCTGTTCTCGAACTCCTGACCTCAGTTGATCCACCCACCTTAGCCTCCCAAAGTGCTGGGATTACAGGCGTGTGCCACCGCGTCTGGCCTGGAAGCTAATTTTTTAATATTGTATATGGTCTTATTTATACTTGAAGTTTTCCGAACGTCGCTAAACAGAATAGGAGTAAAATTTCCAATTCTCCTGCACTCTGACAGAAGCCTAGAACTCACTAAACTGGACTGCCTTTCCCAAATGGGAAAGGTGCTGACAGAGCTGGAGAAAAAAGAATAGACTCACTTTTCCCCATTATTGGTATGTAGGCATTGGTACTGCCCCTTCTCCCTGATAAGATTCAAGCTCTTTCTCTCACACTGGACTATAAACCAAACCCATGCAATGTGCAAGCAAGGGCAGGGAGTAGTTCCAATCTGACCTCTCCCTGTCTCATTTTAATGACTGGACAGGGCTCAGTGAAGGCTGTGTTCACTACTGTGGGCCACTATTTGTTTCCTTGCTCTTGTAAAAGACCAAGCAAATGCACTCTGCTTTTTGCTGCTGTAAGACCACCAAAAATGAGTCAGAAACACAGAAGACTATTTCAGGCATGTGGGCCTGGATATGCTCCTTGAGACTTCTGGCAAACTTCTGCTGGGAATTAGTTTGAGGGTGAGGATACATATGTGATAGTTGCCCTAGCCTAAGAGTAGCAGCTAAAAGAAATAAAGTTTCTTTCATCCTTTGCCTTACTGATAACACCATAGCCCTTCTCAATTCAGATCTTCTGATTGAGTGCAGAGGAGACTATCTACACCTTCCCCTAACAAAACCAAAACGAAAGAGTTCATACTCTGATTTTCCAATATCTGAGAAACTGAGTTTTATTTCATAGCTCTAAGGCAGCCTTACTATCTGTCAATAAAGTGCTGAAAACTATTTAGCAGTAGCATCCAAAACCAAGCCTTTAGCCAATAATATCTGCATATTGTGCACAGCAAAAACTGTGAGGCCAGGACTAGTTTATCTGAATGCCTCAGCTGCTGTAAGCTTCTCCTCTTTCACCCTGTAAACTGACAAGCATGATGAAAAAAGCAGCACATCCAAGTCTCTGCCTCTTTTAAATGTATTTGACTTTGCAAGGCAAGTAGTTGTACAGTCATTTCTATTCACACCTTTTACCCCAGGATTTGGGGATTTAGCGGAGACATTTCTACCTCGAACAAGTCACATGTACTACAGGTTCCTGAACAATTCCTGCAGGGCTGGTGATAGACATAGCAGCTCTGGTTTTATAATATCTTGGGTGTCTCTAAGGCCAATAAGAACAACATTATCTACCCAGAGAAAGCATAGTAGGAGCCCGAAGGAAGAGTAAACAAGAAAGGAGCTGTGTTCACACTGAATTTGTGGTCAATTTCCCCCACCCTCTCTCCAGCCCAACCCTTCAGGAATCCTCTTTTAGTTTACTGATTTTATACAGAAGAAACTGCCTTAGAAACAAAGGATTCAATGATTTGCTTATTTATTCTTTGTTAACATGAGTGTCCCATGTCTGAAAACCAAAGTCAAATTTCTGTCTGGCCTTTTGTCTCATCTCTCTTGGCAAAAGTATCTTTTAAAATGATTTTAAAAATGCTGAGTAACAGAAAAGTATTAATGTGCTTGACACCATGACTGAAATGCCATGATCTTGTTTGTCAATAAAAAGCAGCTATCTGTGAACCAGGTAACTGTTGTTTTGGAAGGAAATCTGTTTCAGAGAGTCGTAAACAAGCCCTGTAGAGAACACAGGTGCTAGGTTGACAGACTCATCTTTTGTAGGACATTTCTTCCTGCTAAACAGTACCTGATGGGCTTGATTTTTTTTTTTTTGTAAGTTGACACAGGGTTACTATGTAATTAGTAAGTATACCTTTCTCAAGACAGTTGATGGTAGCTTTCCATTGTTTTGCTTCACCAACATCAACACAAAGTAAACCTGAACATGCTTAGCAATTTCACAAAGTGCTTTGCTGACATTACTTTTGACATACTGTGTCAAAATTCTTACAGTCTCCCCTCCTTTGGTAAAGTAGGCAAAACCTTACAAGGAAAACACTATAATACACAGAAATACATTGAATTAGATTTCCAGTCACCTGCTCTATGGCTGAGATGCACTACATCCATACTGGTTCCTACGACTGTGTCCACCTGATGGTTTAGAGTATGGAAAACCAGACACTATGGCTTAAAAGTCATCTCCTGTGAAAGACAATGCTGGCCTTCTGAATGCTGGGCCTCATGGGTTTGTAGATGTGGCTTTCTGCTGTGCCAGGATCTCCTGGCAGCTCCTGTATACTTCAATCAAGCAATCCAGCCGGGGCTTGGCACTCTGAATTCCAAAGGGGAGATATGCAGAGTCAAGGTGAATGTGAGAACAGTGGTGCTGCATCCACATGCAACTTTTTTTTTTTGAGACAGAGTCTTGCCCTGTCCCCCAGGGTGGAGTATAGTAGCACAATCTCAGCTCACTGCAACCTCTGCATCCTGGGTTCAAATGATTCTTGTGCCTCAGCCTCCCAAGTAGCTGAGACTACAGGCACAAACCACCATGCCCAGCTAATTTTTGTATTTTTAGTAGAGACTGAGTTTCGCCATGTTGGCCAGGCTGCTCTTGAAGGCCTGCCCCAACCTCCCAAAGTGCTGGGATTAGAGGCGTGAGCCAAGGTGCTGGGCCCACATGCAATTTCAATCTTTCACCCACATCAAAGGGTATAAATAGCACAGCAGTGAGCTCAGGGAGTTAAGTTCAGGCCTCAGAGCACCTTGCTGGGAAGAGTCCCAGCTAGGCTCACAGCCCAGCTTGTGAATTGTGCGAGGTAAGAGATCAAATGATAGCTTTTTAATCTGTCTAAATTTCATGAACTCCATCTCTAAGAGTAAGCAAGAGGATAAATAAAATGGACCCTCGAGAAATGTCACAAGTTGTAAAATAGCCCTCAAAGACAAGAAGGGCAATTTAATATGTAAATATTGAAAAATGCTTTGTACAATGAAATGTAACACAACCGAAATTAAAAGAAAAACCACAGAATGGAAAAAATATATGTGAAAGTATATTTAATAAAAGTGTACTACCCAAAATATATAAAGAATTGTTAAAAATATAAAAAATCTATACAAATATATAATGTTCAGTTTCTACCTAACAGAGAAGATAGGTAGTTTAAAATAATAGGAAATATTGATAGGTAATACAAGGAAATATAAAAAGCCTATCATTTAAGCCGGGCGTGGTGGCTCAAGCCTGTAATCCCAGCACTTTGGGAGGCCGAGGCGGGTGGATCACGAGGTCAAGAGATCAAGACCATCCTGGTCAACATGGTGAAACGCCGTCTCTACTAAAAATACAAAAAATTAGCTGGGCATGGTGGCACGTGCCTGTAATCCCAGCTACTCAGGAGGCTGAGGCAGGAGAATTGCCTGAACCCAGGAGGCGGAGGTTGCGGTGAGCCGAGATCGCGCCATTGCACTCCAGCCTGGGTAATAAGAGCGAAACTCTGTCTCAAAAAAAAAAAAAAAAAAAAGCCTATCATTTAAAGAGTTACAAATTCACCTACTTTAAAATGCCTTTACCTACACATTAGGTTAACAAAGCTAAATTCGCTATTAGACAAGATGGTAGAAAAACAAGTACAAAACCCCCAAGTAGGCCGGGCGCGGTGGCTCAAGCCTGTAATCCCAGCACTTTGGGAGGCCGAGGCGGGTGGATCACGATGTCAAGAGATCGAGAACATCCTGGTCAACATGGTGAAACCCCGTCTCTACTAAAAATACAAAAAATTAGCTGGGCATGGTGGTGCGTGCCTGTAATCCCAGCTACTCAGGAGGCTGAGGCAGGAGAATTGCCTGAACCCAGGAGGCAGAGGTTGCGGTGAGCCGAGATCACGCCACTGCACTCCAGCCTGGGTAACATGAGTGAAATTCCGTCTCAAAAAAAAAAAAAAAACCCCAAGTATAATAAAGTTGTCCAATCTCTGGAGCCGAATCTTAAACACTAGAAATCTATAACACTAGAAATCTATATAATCTATTCATAAGATTTAATAAAATAATTTTGAATTATAATGCAAAATAATTTGTTAGCTTAGCTATCTTAAGTCCTTTATGAAAAAGGTCAGTGAGGCAGGGTTAACTGTATACATAAATATGTGCATAAATAACTACCTATAATTTATTATCATGTTTGTATAATTTTAGTTTTGTTTTTTGAGATGGAGTCTTGCTCCAGGCTGAGTGCAGTGGCATGATCACAGCTCACTGCAGCCTCTACCTCCTGGGCTCAAGCAAGCCTACCTCAGCTTCCCAAGTAGCTGAGACCACAGATGTGTGCCACTATGCTCGGCTAATTTTGGTATTTTTTGTAGAGATGGGGGTTTCACCATGTTGCCCAGGCTGGTTTTGAACTCCTGAGCTCAAGTGATCTGCCTGCCTCAGCCTCCCAAAGTGTTGGCATTACAGTTGTGAGCCACTGCACCCAGCTGATAAGTGTTTTTTTATAAGAGCAAAACAAAAAACCCAGGCATGATTTTAAAAGCTAGCAAGAGTGGCTAAACTGTTATTTCAATATATTATATGATATAATTATTTAAAATAATAAATATAATGGCCTTTGTAGAATACATATATATTAATTTACAAAGACACATAATAGTGTACAGTGTGAGTATATCAATGACCTCTATCTGAAAAACTGTACATTAGTAGACAGAGTCAAAGTAGATGAATGGTGATTTGTAGGTAGAAGTTGCTATATATTTGATTGTTTTCTTTAAAATGTGCACAAGGCCAGGTGTGGTGGCTCATGCTTGTAATCCCAACACTTTGGGAGACCGTGGCGGGAGAAGTGCTTGAACTCAGGAATTCAAGATCAGCCTAGACAACATGGCAAGACCATCTCTATTAAAAATTTAAAGATTAGCAGGGCGTGATGGTGCACACATATAGTTCCAAGTACTTAGGAGGCTGAGACAGGAGGATTTCTTGAGCCTAGGAGGTGGAGGCTGCAATGAGTGGTGATCACACCACTGCACTCCAGCCTGGGTAACAAAGTGAGACTCTGTCTAAAATAAAATAAAATATACATTAATTAATTAATATTTTTCAAGGCCTATATTTGCCTCAGAAAGGAACTTCTCAACTGAAATCCTAATTCTCACTCAAAACAGCTGTCAGGTATCTTCCACTACTCTGACAAATGGAATTTACACTCCTACTGAAAAGGTTGAGGATTAATTGGAGAATGGTAAAAGTGTTCTATGCTCACCTGGAAGACAGGTACTACTTGGGATATCCCATGTGGTTCCACTGGATCCTTCAGTAAGATGCAGAGGTAATAAATCACCTTTTGCTGTAAGAAAATAAATAGCAAGGTCTAAGTGAAAATCATTTTGCATTCTTTTTTTCCTTTTCTTTTTTTTTCTTTTTTTGAGATGAAGTCTCACTCTGTTGCCCAGGCTGGAGTACAGTGGCACGATCTCGGCTCACTGCAACCTCCACTTCCCAGGTTCAAGCAATTTTCCTGCCTCAGCCTCCTGAGTAGCTAGGATTACAGGTGTGAGCCACCACACCCGGCTAATTTTTCGTATTTTTAGTAGAGACAGGGTTTTACCATGTTGGCCAGGCTGGTCTGGAACTCCCGACTTCAGGTGATTCACCCCCCTTGGCCTCCCAAAGCACTGGGATTACAGGTGTGAGCCACCGGACCTGGCCACATTCCTTTTTCCCAAGGGAAGGCTCAACACTTTTTCATAAATGGTTATCTCTAAGTAGTAGAGCACTTGATAGCTTTTGAAGTGGGAGAAAAGTATATTCTCATTCTTTAAATGAAAAAAGAGAGCCAGGAGTAGTGGCTCAGACCTGTAAACTAAACATTTTGGGGAGGACACGGCAGGAAGATGGCTTGAGCCCAGGAATTCAAGACCAGCCTAGGCAATATAGTGAGACTCCATCTCTACAAAAAATAGAAAAAACGAGCTAAGCATGGTGGTACGCGCCTGTAGTCCCAGCTACTTGGGATGCTGAGGTGGGAGGATGGCTTAAGCCTGGGAATTTGAGACTGCAGTGAGCTGTGATCATGCCACTGCACTCCAGCCTGGGCAACAGAGTGAGACCCTGTCTCAAAAAAATTGAAAAAAGAAAGAGAAGGAAAAAATGCCAGTGATAATTTTGAAGATAAAGTTGAAATGTTAATTCCCTATCCATGAAAGCCTGCTGCATGTCTTTAAAAATAAAGTGATTTATCTGTTTAATGTCCACCATCACAGCAATCTCAAATTTTTCTTCCAAATTCCAACTTAAGGGCCCAAATCAGCTGAATGCAGTAGCTTACTTTTCACTTTTATTAAATGTATTTTATTAAATGTGCCAGCCAAAAAGAAGACTCTAGTACTAAAAGTAGTAGAGCAGAGGGTCTTCATGTTTAATTCTGTGACATTAAGTACTCTGGGTATTTAGGTATTAAGTTTAGATCTGGGAACATCCCTTGGGCTGGCTACCTCCTCCAGAGAGGCCTGTAATACTTACCTCTTAAATACTTACCATGTAAATAGCCTCATTGATGACAATATCCTTGACCTTGCCCATCTCTATGAAGGTAGTACTTTCTTTGCCTGAAGCATAAGATGAAGTCATCTGAATGCCAAGAGAATCAATGATTAACAGAGTCTCCTGGTCAATCTTCACAAAATGGAGATAACCAAGCAGACCTACGAGGGTGATGAAGATGGCAGCAGAGAGGATCATGCTGTTCTGAAGAGAGAGCCAGATACAGGCAGTAAGATTACCAAGTGGTCCTCTGCATATACCTGTGCTGTACAAGTCAACTTCAGGCAATGAAGAAAAAGGCCTTTCTTCTGTTGTTGGATGAGGCGAACATGCATGGAGGAAAAGGAAATTGCTTTTATTTGGGTTCTGAGGTGCTATGAAAGTATACAGTGAAACAGATCCAGACAACACATGGATAGGTCTGGGGAAAACCTCCATCAGCAAAATGTCCATCATCACAGCAATCTCAGAAATTTTTCTTCCAAAATTCCAACTTAAGGGCCCAAATCAGCTGAATGCAGTAGCTTACACCTGTAATTCCAGCTACTAGGGAGGCTGAGACAAAAGGATCACTTGAGCCCAGGAGTTCAAGGCTGCAGTGGGCTATGATCATACAACTGCACTCTAGCTTGGGAACCAGAATAAGATACTGCCTCTTTAAAAAAAAAAAAAGGATCCGGCCAAGCATGGTGGCTCATGCCTATAATGCCAGCACTTTGGGAGGCTAAGGTGGGCAGATCACAAGGTCAAGAGATTGAGACCATCCTAGCCAACATGGTGAAACCCTGTCTCTAACTAAAAATACAAAAATTAGCTGGGCGTGTTGATGCACACCTGTAGTCCCAGCTACTTGGGAGACTGAGGCAAGAGAATTGCTTGAATCTGGGAGGCAGAGGTTGCAGTGAGCTAAGATCACTCCACTGCACTCCAGCCTGGTGACAAAGCGAGACTAGTCTCAAAAAAAAAAGGACCAAAATATTTTCCTTTCACACATTCTCAGCAGAATACAAGAGGGAGTTATGTCCTGATAAACTCATTGTAAGATGAAAATGCATTTAATATTGAGTTCTAGCACTAAATAAACTAAAATTTAAAAATGCATTTAATACACCTAACCTATCAAACATCAGAGCTTAGCCTAGCCTACCTTAAATGTGCTCAGAACACTTATATTAGCCTACAGTTGGGCAAATCATGTAACGCAAACCTTGTTTTATAGTAACGTGGAAAATCTCATGTAATTTATTCAATGCTGTACTTAAAGTGAAAAACAATGTTTGTATGGGCATTTTAAGTATAGTTTCTGACTGTGTATTATTTCTGCATCATACTAAAGTAAAAAAATCTAAGTCAAACCATCATAAGTCAGGAACCATTTGTATATAATACAGAATCATAGACTGAACAATTATGAAGTACTTAGCACAGTGTAGCTGATACTAGGCTTGCCTAATAAACAGCCACCCACCCGCCCCAATTGAACTAGGGAGTGAATCATGATTGGTTCCCAGTCCTGTGACACAACTCTGCCAATGAGATGTGAGGGGAGATCTGCTGGAGGGACTTCTGGAAAACTTGAGTTCATCTTTAAAAATCTACAGAAGAGAAGTTCCCTTCATCATGAGGTTTACATACCTGGAACTACTATGGCCTCTGCCAGACCCAGTGGAGAGCTAGAGGACGCTAAGGGTGGAAGTGCAGTTTCTGCACTTGGAGGACCAAATGGAGGACAAGTAGAGTACATAGGGGGTCAGCAGTAAGATTACAAGAGCCGGAATCAAATGAGTCTCTATGTGAACTTGGGAGCCCTCCTACCTTATGACTTCTTGTTAATAGAAAAGGTCCTTCTCTCTTAAGGCTATTTTAGTTTTTCTGTGACTTACAGTTGACTAAGTGATGTGTTAAGGGCTCAAAAAAGGGTGTCTATTATTTATTCCCTTGATTCTAAGACACATGTACGATCTTTAACATTTCTGAAGTTAAAATGTGTTTTCCTATTGGTGTGTTTCTTTCATGTGGCATTATTTTATCTTTTTTTACCAGAAGCTATTATTTAGAAGGCTGGCACAGGAAAAAAAATTATTGATGACATAAAATCAAAGAAATTTGGTAATTTTGGACTGCATTCCTGGAGGGCAGGAAATGTCTTATTATTCTTTGTACTGACAAGACGCCCTCCTTTGTCTACCTCTAGTCAGGCTCCTGTAAGCCCTCTAGGCTCTGACCTTGACATCTTTGTTGGGCCTGCACTGCCCACCCAGCTGTAGCAAGAATCTTGCTGAATCAGTTTAGAAAGAACTCCTACCCTTGGTATTTGATCAGCCTGGCCTGCCTTCAGCAAGAATCCTGTCAAGTCAGTTTAGCCAGAATCCCACCTTGCCCCTGATGTTTCCTTTGAGTAATTTTCTATCCATTGACTCCCACCCTGTTCCTTGACTATAAATCTCCACTTGTTCACGCTGTATTCAGAACTGAGGAATTTGGAATTCTCTACTGAAGTCTCTTTTCCCCTATTGTAGTTGTTCCTGAATAAAATCTGTTTTTTTACCACTTCAACTACTCACTAGCTCTGGTTTTCTTTGATGGTCTCTTTCTACTTCCTTATACTTAACCCACAGTGTTAGATCAGGGATCTGCAAACTATTTGGGCCTGTGGTCTGGCTTTGTCTGGTCCATCTCAAGCGAAGAATGATTTTTAAGTTTTTATAGGGCTGTAGAAAGAAAGAAAAGAATATTATAAGACAGACCCACAGAACCTGCTATATTTACTATCTAGTCTTTTAAAGAAAATGTTTGGGCCAGGCATGGTGGCTCACGCCTAGAATCCCCACACTTTGGGAGGCCAATGTAGGGGGATTGTTTGAGGCTAGGAATTCAAGACCAGCCTGGGCAACATAGTGAGACCCCATCTCTACAAAAAATACAAAAATCAGCCAGGTGTGGCAGCACACACTTGTAGTCCCAGCTACTCAGGAGGCTGAGATAAGAGGATCACTTGAGTCCAAGAGACTGAGGCTGCAGTGAGGGGTATTCATACCACTACACTCCAGCTTAAGGAAACAGAGTGAGAACCTGCCTCAAAAAAAAAGAAAGAAAAAGTTTGCTGATCTCTGTGCTATTTGTTGATTGATGAATGGAGGATTCAGTACTGGGTCTCTGATGAACCAAAAAGATCTAATTTTGCAATTAAGATTAATTGCACTGAATAAGCATTATGAAGAATGGAGAGGAATACAATTCAGCCCTGACCCTTACAGATTTATTAAAGGCAAGATTAATATACAGAAAATATTCTGGAGGATACTCTGATACTGACTACAAGTGCCAAAGGAAAAGTCTTTTTTTTATAAAAAAAGAAAGAAAAGATATAAAAGCACACAAGAATATATCCCATCACATCCAAGGAAATAGGATTTAATTGGTGCAGGGGAGGTGGTGGTTAGTGACCATTCTAATTAGTTGAAAGGGAAGGGAGAAGCACATTCCAGGTTGGAATAAACAAAGGAACAACCTGGAACTTTAATAGAACTGTGAACTCAAAAACATGAAGGGATTAAGGACAGTAAATCCTTAGGGATTTGATCCATGTCAGTTTTCCAAAGAAAGCAATCCATGCCTAGAACTTCATTACTACCTGCATTTTTTTTACTTCATTTTTCTGTATAGAATTCAAACAATTCAATATTCATTTGAGTTGGTATTAAGCTGTATGTTTGAATGAATTCCTTCAATCAGACTTCTTCTCATTCCAGATATTCACTACTCTCATAAACAGTTTTGAATAGAAAAAGTAAGAAATTTTGGCACACAGAGCCCTTAGGAAGTGTTGCAGTAGAGTTTAAAGGAAGATGAGGTCACTAAATCCTGGGCACTTGATAGGGGTGAGCAGCATACACCAGGATGAGAGACGTAAGTACAGAGGGGACCTGGCATAAAAGCAGGCTTTTGTTTTTAAATTTTGCCTAAGATCAGCCATACAATGGTATAAAGGAAAAAAAAGGGTCTTGGAGTCAGAGATCCCTGGGTTTGAAGCCCAGATATGCCATTTACTGCTTTGAAACTTTTGGTAAGTCATTATTCTTTGTAAGCCTTGGTTTTCTTCATTCTAGGGCTGAAGTAAGGAATTCAGTAAAGCATCCGGCACTCAGTGGGCATTTAATAAATATCTATTTCCTCCTCCTCCTCACGTGACCACATACATAGGCTATAACAACTCAGGCTAGTACCAAAATTCAACTATACTATATTTTAAGTGTTGGGGGGGATGTGAAATCCATTTAATCATTTTAACTGACTTATGAACAAAATGTTTTTTGTTTTTTTTTTTTTTGAGACAGAGTCTCCCTTTGTCGCCAAGGCTAGAGTGTAGTGGCACGATCTTGGCTCACTGCTACCTCTGCCTCCTGGGTTCAAATGATTCTCCTGCCTCGGTCTCCCAAGTACCTGGGACTACAGGCATGTGCCACCACGCCCAGCTAATTTTTGTATTTTACAAATACAAAACACATGGTGATACAAATACAAATACATAGTGAGACACAGTTTCACTATGTTGGCCAGGCTGGTCTCGAACTCCTGACCTCAAGTGATCCACCTGCTTCGGTCTCCCAAAGTGCTAGGTTACAGGCATGAGCTACCCCCCTGCCTGAACAGACTTTTAGATAGTTTTCTACAATTAGGGCAGTCTTAATTCTGCATATTTCTATGCTAAATTAACATATTCTGAAATATGCTTTGACAGAAAAAAAGCTAATGGATGCAGTAATGGAAACAGTATCCAAGTTACAGAAATAAATAGCCCTGCAGTACTTAACTCAGATCAGATCACTTCTGGGATAATACATTCAATTCAGGCACTACATATGAAACTAGAACTCATCCCGAAAAGGCAATTAGGATAATTCTTCTTATTTGAGAACTGTTACAAAGTTACTGCATTTAACCCTCACAGTATCATGAAGCTGGCATGGCAGGCATGAATTCTATTTTAGAGATGTAGAAAATTGAGGCTCAGAGAAAACAGGAATGAATCTAGAAACTGAGCGCAGATACCACACACGTCCAAAATTTCATAATCCTTTAGAAAGTACTTAAAATTGGGGGAGAGTTTGGGAGAAGAGAGGGTTAAACTGTATTGAAAAACAGATTAGGAAGAACTATAACATTGTATACACACAGATACACAAGTGTACACTGTGGAGGCAAAGACAGTTTGTGGAAGACTACATAAGGTATTGTTAGCAGCACTGCCTTTGAGGAGCAGAAGTGATAGACGAGGAAGACCCACTTAGTAGTTCCCTGATCTCTTGGAATTAAATTACTACGAGGCTATATTACATAGAACACGTGGAAGTTAAAGTTTTAGACCGTCGTGCAAGAACTAGATGTATGCTGGGTGAACACACCGAGCAGAGCACAGACACGGAGGGGGAATGTACTGTCCAGGAGCACACATTCACCAAACGTCATTTAAAGAGCTGTCCAGCATCGGAATGGCGTCCCCAAAACCCGTGGGTTCCCGCCCTCTGGTCCTACCACTGCAGGAGGGGCCCACCAGAGATCTGGGCTCGATCAAAGATCCCAAA